TGAAATTTTAATCACCTCTATCTCGAGATCGAGCACACGGTGGAGATGATGATGTAGGGAGATAAAAAGTGCACAAAGCTCTTCTTGACAAAGATAGATCTAGTTAGGGGGAAAATAGGTCACTTAACTAAATGCCACATCTACCTAGCTAGCTAATTTGGGAGGAGACAACTTCAACTAGTGGAGGGGGAAGGAAAAATAGAAAGGAGATGCATTAATGGAGGTGGTGTAGTTAGCTAGGAGTAATGAAGAGAGAGAAAGGTAGGTAGGAGAGGGAGAGTAATGGGGGAGAAGTATTGAGGAAGAAGAAGAGTGAGAGAGGGTGGATGTGGGAGGTAGGGGAAAGGGAAGAGAGGACATGGGGGAGGGGAGGACGGGTGGGGAAAGGTGGTGGGTTGGTGCAGCTTAGCAGTAGCGCGGGACGTAAAACGCGCTGCTGATAAGAAAGTAGCAGCAGTGCGCTTTCCACACAAGCGCTACTGCTAATTGGGACCAACAGTGTGCCCAATTTGAAAATTAGCAGCAGCGACCTCAGAAAAAGCGCGCTGCTACTACAGCTTTAGCAGTAGCGCGGGTCGCAACAATGCGCTGCTGCTAAATGTAGGTTGGTGCACACTGTCGGTCGATATTTGTAGCAGCGCGGGTTGCTCCAAGCGCGCTACTGCTAACGCCGTGTCAGTAGCGAGTTTTGCACGCACGCGCTACTGCTAATTAGCAGTAGCGCCTCTTTTTGAGCCGCGCTACTGCTAAGATTCTGTGTATAAGGTTTTCCCTATTAGTGATTAGAGACGACTGCATTCACTTTAAATAGGGCACCATCAAAATTCGTTGAGACGACGCCTTATGAACTGTGGTTTGGCAAGAAACCAAAGTTGTCATTTCTTAAAGTTTGGGGATGTGATGCTTATGTGAAAAAGTTTTAACCTGTTAAGCTCGAACCCAAATCGGAGAAGTGCGTCTTCATAGAATACCCAAAGGAAACTATTGGGTACACCTTCTATCATAGATACGAAAGCAAGATATTTGTTGCTAAGAAGGATCCTTTCTAGAGAAGGAGTTTCTCTCGAAAGAAGTGAGTGGGAGGAAAGTAGAGCTTGATAAGGTAATTGTACCTTCTCCCGAATTGGAAAGTAGTTCATCACAGAAATCAGTTCCAGTGATTCTTACACCAATTAGTGAGGAAGCTAATGATGATGATCATGAAACTTCAAATTAAGTTACTACAGAACCTCGTAGGTCTTCCAAAGTACAGTCCACACCAGAGTAGTACGATAATCCTGTTCTGGAAGTCATGTTACTAGACCATGATGAACCTACAAACTATGAGGAAGTGATGATGAGCCCAGATTCCGCAAAATGGCTTGAGGCCATGAAATCTGAGATAGGATCCATGTATGAGAACAAAGTGTGGACTTTGGCGGAGTTGCCCGATGATCGGCAAGCCATATTGTATAAATGGATCTTCAAGAGGAAGACAGACGCTGATAAGTAGTGTTACTATCTATAAAGCTCGACTTGACGCAAAAAGTTTTTCGACAAGTTCAAGGTGTTGAATACGATGAGATTTTCTCACTCGTATCGATGCTTAAGTCTGTCCGAATCATGTTAGCAATTGCCACATTTTATGAAATCTGGCAAATGGATGTCAAAAGTGCATTCCTTAATGGATTTATTAATGAAGAGTTGTATATGATGCAACCAGAAGGTTTTGTCAATCCTAAAGGTGCTAACAAAATGTGCAAGCTCCAGCGATCCATCTATGGACTGGTGCAAGCATCTCGGAGTTGGAATATACGCTTTGATGAGTTGATTAAAGCATATGGTTTTATACAGACTTTTGGAGAAGCATGTATTTACAAAAAAGTGAGTGGGAGCTCTGTAGCATTTTCTAAAACTATATGTAGATGACATATTGTTGATTGGAAATGAATTAGAAATTCCGGATAGCATAAAAGGATACTTGAATAAGAGTTTTTCAAAGAAAGACCTTGGTGAAGCTGCTTACACATTGAGCATCAAGATCTATAGAGATAGATCAAGACGCTTGATGAGATTTTTCAATGAATACATACCTTGATAAACTATTGAAGTAGTTCAAAATAGAACAATCAAAGGAGTTCTTGCCTGTGTTGCAAGGTGTGAAGTTGAGTAAGACTCAAAACCCGGCTATGGCAGAAAATAGAAAGAGAATGAAAAATCATTCCCTATGCCTCAGTCATAGGTTCTATAAAGTATGCTATGCTGTGAACCAGACCTATTGTATACCTTACTCTGAGTTTGACAAGGGAATACAATTTTGATCTAAGAGTAGATCACTGGAAAACGGTCAAGAATATCCTTAGTGAGGACTAAGGAGATGTTTCTCGATTATGGAGGTGATAAAAGAGCCCGTCGTAAAAAGTTACAACGATGCAAGCTTTTACACCAATCTAGATGACTCTAAGTCTCAATCTGGATACATATTGAAAGTGGGAGCAATTAGCTAGAGTAGCTCCGTGCAGAGCATTGTGGACATAGAATATTTGCAAAATACATACGGCTCTGAACATGACAGACCCGTTGACTAAACTTCTCTCACAAGCAAAACATGATCATACCTTAGTACTCTTTGGGTGTTAATCACATAACAATGTGAACTAGATTATTGACTCTAGTAAACCCTTTGGGTGTTGATCACATGACGATGTGAACTATGGGTATTAATCACATACAGATGTGGATATTGGTGTTGAATCACATGCTGATGTGAACTAGATTATTGACTCTAGTGCAAGTGGGAGACTAAAGGAAATATGCCCTAGAGGAAATAATAAAGTTATTATTTATTTCCATATTTCATGATAAATGTTTATTATTCATGCTAGAATTGTATTAATCGGAAACTTAGTACATGTGTGAATACATAGACAAACATAGTGTCACTAGTATGCCTCTACTTGACTAGCTCGTTAATCAAAGATAGTTAAGTTTCCTAACCATAGACATGAGTTGTCATATGATTAACGGGATCACATCATTAGAGAATGATGTGATTGACTTGACCCATTCCGTTAGCTTAGCACTTGATCGTTTAGTATGATGCTATTGCTTTCTTCATGACTTATACATGTTCCTATGACTATGAGATTATGCAACTCCCGTTTACCGGAGGAACACTTTGTGTGCTACCAAACGTCACAACGTAACTGGGTGATTATAAAGGAGCTCTACAGGTGTCTCTGAAGGTACATGTTGAGTTGGCATATTTCGAGATTAGGATTTGTCACTCCGATTGTCGGAGAGGTATCTCTGGGCCCTCTCGGTAATGCACATCACTATAAGCCTTGCAAGCAATGTGACTAATGAGTTAGTTGTGGGATGATGCATTACATAACGAGTAAAGAGACTTGCCGGTAACGAGATTGAACTAGGTATTGAGATACCGACGATCAAATCTCGGGCAAGTAACATACCGATGACAAAGGGAACAACGTACGTTGTTATGCGGTTTGACCGATAAAGATCTTCGTAGAATATGTGGGAGCCAATATGAGCATCCAGGTTCCGCTATTGGTTATTGACCGGAGACGTGTCTCGGTCATGTCTACATTGTTCTCGAACCCGTAGGGTCCGCACGCTTAAAGTTCGGTGACGATTGGTATTATGAGTTTATGTGTTTTGATGTACCGAAGGTAGTTCGGGGTCCCGGATGAGATCGGGGACATGACGAGGAGTCTCAAAATGGTCGAGACGTAAAGATCGATATATTGGATGACTATATTCGGACTATGGAAATGTTCCGAGTGATTCGGATATTTTTCAGAGTACCGGAGTGTTATGGGAATTCGCCAGGGAGTATATGGGCCTTATTGGGCCATACGGGAATAGATGAGAGAGGCCAAAAGGAAGGAGGCGCGCACCCCCCCTCTGGTCCAAATTGGACAAGGGGTGCAACCCCTTTTCCTTCTCCCTCTCCCCCTTTTTCTTTCTCTCCTACTCCGAAAAGGAAAGGGGAATCCTACTTGGACTTGGGAGTCCTAGTAGGAATCCCCACACTTGGCGCGCCCTCCTCTAGGGTCGGCCTCTCCCTCCCTCCTTTATATACGGGGGCAGGAGAGCACCTCTATACACAACAATTGATCCATTGGATCTCTTAGCCGTGTGCGGTGCCCCCTTCCATCATAATCCACCTCGATAATATCGTAGTGTCGATAGAACATCATCATCGTCACCACGCCATTGTGCTGATGGAACTCTCCCTCAAAGCTCGACTGGATCGGAGTTCGAGGGACGTCATCAAGCTGACGTGTGCTGAACTCGGAGGTACCGTGCGTTCGGTACTTGATCGGTCGGATCGTGAAGACGTACGACTACATCAACCGCATTGTGCTAACGCTTCCGCTTTCGGTCTACGAGGATACGTGGACAACACTCCCCCCTCTCGTTGCTATGCATCACCATGATCTTGAGTGTGCGTAGATTTTTTTTTTTTGAAATTACTATGTTCCCCAACAGAAGGTACCCATGAATCAATTGGAGATATTACGGACATAATTTTAATTTCCATGGAAGAAATCACAAACACAATTAAAATTACCTATGTCATCATTGTCTAGAGAATCAAGAGATCTAAGTATGAACGCACAATACAAATACTCATGCAGTTCTTAAGAGCATGCAAGTCTGAACATGAATATGAAATACCGACAGTGTGATTAGAATGATAGGCAAATTGGACAAAAAAGAAAAAAATGACAGTAAAATTGTTGTATTACTTGACATCGATCAGTGGCACAGAAGTACTCCCTCCATTCGGTAATAGATGACCCGGTCGTTTTATTTTTTGCGAAACAGTCCTCCTATTTTTTCCGACCAATCCCGCGGTCCTCCGCTCCCGACACAAACTCCGTGGCTCGCCATTCTTGCTCGCCTGCTCGCCGTCTTGGCTCTCCGGCGCTGCCCCCCGCCGCCTTCCTCGCTCCCCCGCCCCATGCCGCCTTCCTCCCCAGAATCACGCTCTGATGCTGCCGGCTCGTCCCCCTCCTTGTTTCCCACCGTCTCAAGCTTCAATTTTTGCCACATCGCCGGTGGTTGATCTGCGGGCAGGATTGCGGGCGGCGGCCTGGAGCGGCAGTACGCAAGCTCTGACTCCATCCCAAGCCAGCCGGCACACCCGTCGAGGAGCTCTGCCAGCCGCTGCCCTAGCGCCCGCGGCCGTCAACGCGTGGTCGGGCGCCGCGTCGATGTTGTCGCTGCTCGGCGCCGCCGTCGCCGACTCATGGCTCGGGCGGTACCGCACCATCGCCGCCTCCTCCGTACTCTACATCATGGTCAGCCTAGCAACTCAGCCACCTCTCACCTCTGGAATCCCTTTCTCCATTCTCAAGTATACTGTTCAGTTCCTCTCTGTAGTCTGTAGGCGCCATTAGATTGGATCAAAGCATTAGTATTTTTTGTCCTGCATTAGTCTGTACAAATCCCGCTTGCATTAGTCTGTAGTCTGTAGTCTGCATTAGTCTTTTTTTGCCACTTACGTGCGACTTGAGATCGCACAAATCCCGCACAGATGGCGCACAAATTTGGGCGCTAGGCTGCATCTTCAGAAACAGTCAGCTATTCTTTGCCATATCTTGGTTCAGTCCTCTGTTTCTGCTAGGTTTTTTGTTCTCCACTTGTGTGTACACTGAAGGGAAAATTCAGAACCTGAGCTCTCTCTGAAGAAGGGGACGATGCAGTTAACAATTAACTGAATTTCTTCTTTTCCGGTGGTTTGACATGTGTGTTTGTTTATTTCTCTTGCTCTCTTGGCTGCTCAAGTGGCACAAAGCCGAGCTACCTTGGCGTGCAGAAGAGGCCCCCCACCCTTGCCTTGTGCCCGACAACCAACAACAGCGTGCCGACGTCCGAGAGGATAAGCAATTCCAATCACTACGCTCACCCATGGTAACCATCGGTGTTTAGTTCTTTCACCATTGATCATGAACAACATTATATGATAAATTCAGTGAGTAAGAAATTGCAGAGTCCCAAATATGATAAAAATGACATCTGCATTTTCTAAAAACAATTTAGTTGCAAGACAATGTCAATTACCTGAAGCAGCACATTCGGATTTGTATTCACTCAAGGTTGATATTTTGTAGTATTCACTCAATGTCAATAGAATGACTAAATATATTTATAAAACAATGTAAATGTTGTTTAGCTTGAATTGTCACTTTCGTAATGTCATGCATCTTACCACTGATGTGTTTCTAGAAAAAATAATTATTACTCCTAATTCAGTCTTGGAACATTTTTGTCTTCATTTTCAAGTCTTTCTTTTTTTATTCCAGTAGCATGATGAGCTTGAAACACTAGGAGTAGCATGTTTGGTTCAGTATTTTCATGTTCAGTTAACTGTGAGCAGCTAGCAAGTGATCGATGGAGAGTCCTCTCTGCATGTTTTGATTGATTAGTACAAACAGAGATGAACTCGGTCAGCGGTCAATTTTGATTTGGAATTCTGCCTGTTACTTCTTTCCTTTACTGACATTAATACAAAAAAATGACATGTAATTGCTCCTTTCCCTTTCTCTGTTTCTTTTCCTTTCTTTGCTTGGAGGGCGCTGCTGCTCTTCTTTCTCTTTCTCTGCTTCGAAGGTGGTGCCGCTTGGAGGGTACTGCTGCTTGGAGGATGTTGCTGGTCGTCTTTCCCTTTCTCTGCTTCTTTCCCTTTCTTTGCTTGGAGGGTGCTGCTGCCCTTCTTTCTCTTTCTCTGCTTCGAAGGTGGTGGTGCTGCTGCTACTGCTTGTAGGGTACTGCTGCTTGGAGGATGTTGCTGGTCTTCTTTCCCTTTCTCTGCTTGGAGGGTGCTGCTGCTCCTCTTTCTCTTTCTCCGCTTCAAAGGTGCTGCTGCTGCTGCCTCGAGGTCTGCTGCTGCTATAAGTGCTAAGGTATGCTCAACTAGCTCAACGTTTAAAGAGAGAGCAATAGGAAGCCTTCCTTCTTGCTGCTGGCGCTCTTTTTGCATGTGAGGAATCTTGTAGCCTATCCCTCCTTTTTCTCTCATAATCTCTCTCATGCATGATTGCAGTGTCATGAAGCTTCGAGCTAACGTGTTGACATCATAGTTTTGATATTCTTCCTCCACGCCTTCTATCAATTCCCTTATGCTTTGAGGTGCTCTGCAATCAGTATGCGACTGGAGAGACCTGAAGAAGCAGAGATCAAGAATATTCAGGTCGGGGCTATTTGGAGGATGCTGGATCAACTTGATATCCAGACCGGTCTGTTCTACGGCCCGTCGAAAAATCTCGTCACTAGGCTTAAGATGCGGTGTAGCATTATCTTGCTGGATAAAGATGGTCCGTTCTTCATCTTCATCAGGCCACATATCATGGATAGCTGGAATTAGTTTCTCACACATACAGAACCTCATTACATCTCTTGTAACTTTCAATGATTTGAGTTCAAGTGTCCCTCTTTCTCTATTTTCACTCCTTTGAGTCGGAGACTCTGTGACAAAGGCCCAAATGCCTATCTTTCCATCAAACGTGACGACACCAACATTGCCATATCTTGGTTTAGCCACGGCCGCAAGAAACATCACCTTCGCAATGCTATCCTTATGATGCAAGGTGCGTAAGGGATCAGGTTCTTCGGGAAGCAGCAAGTAGCCGTTCTCCTCCTGTGTCAGATTGAACCATTTCTCATCCATATAGACCATGTCATGTAATTCTCGGAAATGAGGCCAGGGAGTTCCAGCCAATTCTCATCAGGCATAGAAATGCAAAATCTCAATCTCTCTATCTCGTTGGCTGGCTTTATTGTGGGCCTCACTTGTTTCAGAACATGCACATGTTAAGACCGATAGACTGAAATATGTTGCCTCGCTTGCTAATTTCTTATACGTGGGCTGAGAGACTGAGAGATAATCACAAGATATTCAGTTGTATTTTTCATTCTAGAAGCCTACTTGGTGCTTTTGTATAGGCAGCCCTAATGTATCAACTGTAGAAATGTCAGTTCAGTGTGTAATATGAATCTTTTTTGCCTTTATAAATTGCAGAAGAAGAAAGGTAAATTTCAGCATTCTAGATTGCTTGCTAGGGGAGCTACCTCTGCTGCTGGGAGACTGGTTGCTGAAAATGGGACTCTGAAGGTATGCAATTCTTATCTGCAAACAACTCTTACATTACATCCAGTTTTATCAGGCAACATGCTGACACCACCTGAACTTTATTGTTGGCAGGCTATTTGGCCTCACAGTGGCCACGACCGCCCCACAGAGGAGAACTTCCAGGAGTTTAAAAGCTTCCTCAATGACAACTTGGTTGATATCACTGATGTTAAGGTAAGCATCCTACAATATGATTCAGACAAAAATTAGACGACATCTTAGTGTTGTGTCGATACATTCCAGGAGAGTGGTCTTACTACATGTTTCAAATTGCTGCAGATGAGCCCAGCAGAGGAGGATGAGGAATTCTGGGGCAGCCTCAAAAGGATCGGTTGGGAGAACGACAAATCTGAAGATGGCCCTGCTGCACCTGAAGAAACTGGCTCTCTTCAGACAACTCAAGTCGTTCAAACAACATCTACAGAAACAGAAAAACGCGAGCAACCAGTGGTGGCGCGCGAGAAGATCCTTCAGAGGAGATGGTGGTAGCAGCTGCACCCCTGTGGTAGCATCAGCATCTACAGAAGAACCAGTGGTAGCATCAGCACCAACATCAACATCTACAGATCCTTCAGAGGATCAACATCTACAGAAGAACCAGTGGTAGCAGCTGCACCCCTGTGGCCACGAACCTGGCCGTGGAGATGCAGGGACGCCTGCCCATGCTACAGCAACGAGGAGGGGAAGATGGAGCCGCGGCGGAAGATGGAGCCGCGGCGCCTGAGCCTGGCAGCGGCGGAAGATGGAGCCGCGACGCCTAAGCCTGGCAGCGGCGGAAGATGGAGCCGCGGCGCCTGAGCCTGGCAGCAGTGGAAGATGGAGCCTCGGCGCCTGAGCCTGGCGGCGGCGGAGACGGAGCTCGATGTGCTGGAGTCACCGGCGCTATCTTGCTGCCGGAGATGGAGCTCGAGGTACTCGGAGGTGGGGAGCTCGAGGTGCTGGGTGCGGGAGCTCGAGGAGCTGACGCCGGCGACGGGATCCTAGTGCTGGGGATGGAGCTCGAGGTTCTGGCAGGCGGGAGATTGAGGTTCTGGCCGGGGGACGGAGGTTCCGCGCGGTGGATCGCGACGAGCGGACGGAGAACTGGGTACTGGATTGTAATGATTTTAAATTTCGGAAGGGCCTTATTGTAAAATTGATTTGTTCACGATTCCGCCCCCCTGGAGTCATCTATTATCGAACGGAGGGAGTACCTACTAAAGTGGGAAGCATGTCCATGCTTTCAGCCTGAGAAGTTCTTATCTCTACTCCTAATCTCTACTCCTAATGGAGCAGTTGGTGAATAGTCCGCCGGTTATTTTTCGCTGGTTTTATTTTGCCTCATCATTTTCGTTGGTTTTATTTCGTCTTCTTCCCACCCGCCTTTTCGCTTCACCACTCACATAAACCCATCAGATTAGTTACCATATAAAAAATAAATCGCAATCAATCAAGTATTGATGATCAGATTAGTTACCATATAAAAAAAACGCAATCAATCTATTCATGGGATATTTCCTTATATTGATGTGATTTTTCCTTTCTTATCATCAATCATCTCTACTGCCTAAAAAAATGTGTAGCTTTCCTTTTCCTGCCAACCGACCGCGTCCCGTCTCCCTACATCTGCCCTCGTTGCTCTGCCTCCCGCATGAAAAAAAACCTCTCGTTTGACCTCCCCCAAACCCCGCACGATGGAAAAACCCAGCCGCCTGCTTCCCCTCCTCTCGACCGCTCCATACGTCCAGATCGCGGCCCCGTCCCCATCCTCCTCTCACGTCACGGCGGCCGATGGACTGCCGCCACCACCCTCCTACTCTCTCGCCGCCGCCGTCCTGCCGCTCGCTCGCCGCCGCCGTCGCCACCAATCCCGGCGAAGGCGCCTTTACTGCTATGTCGCCTCCTTTCCCCATCCAAGCCTGACCATGGCAACGACGCCCTCTCATGTGTCCCGCGGTGAGGTTTGGGGAGGCGCGACCACAATCCGGTAGGGATCTCACTGCGGACCCGTCTGCTGGGATAGGTGTTGCCTCCGTTGCGAATGGGATCGAAGGGAGGGACTACTTCGTCGTCAAGGTGGGCAAGGCAGCGGCCGATTGGGAGTCCGGTTGTGAACATGGGAGGTCGTCCCCATGGAGGCGGCGGCCGTGGAGATTGGATGTGAAGCAACCCCACTTGCCGATGGTGGAGGCTTGCCGTCCATGTGATCCTTTCTTCTCTCGGTATCCCCATTCCTTGCCTCCCATTACAAAAGCGAGCATGAATGAGAGCAGGGGCTGATTTTCATCAGTTAATTTATCATATTTTTAGTTGCTTTTTTGAGATTATACAAGATGCTCCCGATCTGTTTTGTCAAATTACTTGGATCGTCTTATGGAATTGACAGCCATCGTATTTTCACCTCATGTTATTTCTTAATCCTTGTCCCACTAGACATTCACTACATGTTTGGTAATGACGTGATGTTGAGGCGGCTAGGAGAAGCTCAGCAGCCAGATCAAGGGCTATCGAGATGGACCTGGGAGCCAAGCAGTAGTTCTTCTGTTAAATTTTGGTTATTATCTTTTCTATTGTTACGATTGTGGGATGGTTGATTTTGACTCGGTGTAACATTTGCATTTGTTTCCCCAGCTTGTTGGCGTAGATACGTGGCACTGCGGCAACTAATCAAGAGCGAGGGCAGTGCACATCAGAGCTACGCTGAATGTAGCGAGTCAACCACGAATTGGGTATGTTCACACGAGGGATGGGAGAGGAGAAGAACATTAACATTTTTCATGATTTGGATGAAAATTTCAGCTCATAGTTTCTCCGTACGTGGCAACACACTAGCGGTACTCATGGGCTTAGGATGAAAGTAACGCCAGCAGAATCAGTAGGTTGGATGGGAAGGCGGTTGTTGCCCTTGTCCCTTGGTGCTAGCCTACCGTGGCGGCCTCACTAACTTGCTCATTGCGAATACGAGTTTGTGGGGTCGCGAGTTGCTGCAGATTTGTTTTTATCACTTTTTACAATATTTATTGATGTATCCCTAACTCATCAAGTCATTTTAGCTTTGATTTCCCATATACGCCAGCCTAAATATCCCATGGTCAGAATATTTGCATGGTTAGTGGAGATTGTCCCTTTCTTTCTAATGTTTAGTATTTTATATTGCCGATAGAAATAATTTTATCCGCTTGATTTAGGAAGTGAACATAGGTAGGTGAACATATTTTGTAGCTCTTTCAGATGTAAAAGCATATGTTGCATAAGAAATTATTATCTTCCAAACATACTCACATTTCACTAACAAATAAGGAGAGGTTCAGACTTCTGAGCAATGATAAAAAGGTTTGTTTCTCACTCTTTTGTTGGAATTTTAGTTCCAAGTTAACATGATTTCTTATCCGCTTCATAAGTCATGCATTTGCTTAATTAGGTGATAAGTAGAGCAAAAAAATTGATCATGTTATTGTGGGGTTTGTTTAAACTCCAGCATAAGGAATTCTGGTTTAAGAAAAAAGACTTTTGACTTCTTTAATTACAAATTGATTGCAACATCGTGTTAGTATGTGATTTCTCACATCTGGTTATAATATTTGTGAAGACGTGCATTGCACGTGCACTTGGAAGCGGGCCACGGGCCCGCGCCGGACGGCGCCGACGCTGACCCGGGCCACCTCCTCCGCGTATTCTTGGAGCTGTGGATGGCCGATTTACATGAAATTAATTCCCTCAGTTCTGGTGGCAAATATAATACACATAATCCATATTGTTATGCACTAGCGTGTGTGTGTGTGAAATAGATGGATTATGGTCCCGTACCCAATAAGATGGATATGTGTGTGTGTTAGAGAGAGGGAGAGAGGGAGAGAGAGTGAGGAAGAAGGAGGGAGAGTGTGTGTGTGAGGATTTGATGGTAAAAAAGGTCGCCAATGTCGTAATATTGAACTCTTAAAGTTAATGTGGCCCCGTTGCAATGCACAAGCATTCTTCTAGTTTTTATTGTTTTGAAGTGCTAGTTGTCAAAATAAATACTACAAGTAACTACCCAAGCCAGAAAATCACATCCCAGACTTGTCAAATCAATTGTTAGATCAAAAATGCTGAAATTCTTGAACAACATAAGGGATCAATGGAGTCTATTGATGAACCATCTGGCCTTAATTGGACAGGTATTGTGTTCCCTATGTTAGATCCAAATGCTGAAGACATATTAGTACTGATATACATATAGGGCGTGTTTGGTTGCCCACATTAGGCCCAGCCTGGCCTGTGCGGGAAGAAAGTGGCCCGTTTGGTTTCCTGCGTTAACTGTGCGGCCCACATCGTACGAAACTTAAAGCACGTCCAGGCCAAGCCCAGGGGAAACGCACGAATCAGCAGTAGCTCGCGAGCCTGGCTCGGGCGAGCCAGGGGAGATGGATTGAGCTTGCCCGCGTCGCCGAAAAATCGGCGGGAGGATTTCGGCTCACCTCCCGCCGAGTCCACCCCTATTTAGCCCCTCCCTCACCGCCCCAACTCCCGCCATCATTCTTCCTCCGTTCGAGCTTTCCCGCCGACGCGCATCGGCACCGATGATGTCTACTACACAACCTTCTTCTTGTAGACGTTATTGGGCCTCCAAGTACAGAGGTTTGTAGGACAGTAGCAAATTTCCCTCAAGTGGATGAGCTAAGGTTTATCAATCCGTAGGAGGCGTAGGATGAAGATGGTCTCTCTCAAACAACCCTGCAACCAAATAACAAAGAGTCTCTTGTGTCCCCAACACACCCAATACAATGGTAAATTGTATAGGTGCACTAGTTCGGCGAAGAGATGGTGATACAAGTGCGATATGAATGGTAGATTTAGGTTTTTGTAATCCGAAAATATAAAAACAGTAAGGTAACTAATGATAAAAGTGAGCATAAACGGTATTGCAATGGTAGGAAATAAGGCATAGGATTCATACTTTCACTAGGGCAAGTTCTCTCAACAATAATAACATAATTGGATCATATAACTATCCCTCAACATGCAACAAAGAGTCACTCCAAAGCCACTAATAGCGGAGAACAAACGAAGAGGTTATGGTAGGGTACGAAACCACCTCAAAATTATCCTTTCTGTTCTATCTATTCAAGAGTGCGTAGTAAAATAACATGAAGCTATTCTTTCCGTTCAATCTATCATAAGTTCATACTAGAATAACACCTTAAGAAACAAATCAACCAAAACCCTAATGTCACCTAGATACTCCATTGTCACCTCAAGTATCCATGGGCATGATTATACGATATGTATCACACAATCTCAGATTCATCTATTCAACCAACACAAAGTACTTCAAAGAGTGCCCCAAAGTTTCTATCAGAGAGTCAAGACGAAAACGTGTGCCAACCCCTATGCATAGGTTCATGGGCGGAACCCGCAAGTTGATCACCAAAACATACATCAAGTGGATCATGTGATATCCCATTGTCACCACAGATAAGCACGGCAAGACATACATCAAGTGTTCTCAAATCCTTAAAGACTCAATCCGA